TGTCCAAACGTGACCTATTCATTTAGCTATTTAGCTAGCCTATTACGGCGCATCGTTCATGACTTCATGCATGAAGAACATGTCTTTCGCAGATTAAACAGCAAAATGCAAAATTAATAAAGTTACAGCTGATTAGTCACTATTAATTTCCCTGGCTTCCTTACTGAATAATGATGCATTTTAGCTACACTTACATTAAATGTTTGGTTGCAATAATTTTTACTCCGGCAAAGCATTCTAATATTGGCCGCGTGATGAGCCAAAAATAAATGATTTTAAGGTGGCTCGGGACAGTTTTCAAGAATTCCATTGTTTCTCACTTTGACACGTTCAAACAACGCATTTTTGTGATTTATTCCAGAGATATTCGGGTTTTTATATATTTTGATGTCTCTACTTTTGAATCGTATTAGTTTTAGTAACAGATCGTCCGTTGCTATGGCGACATACGTGTACAAAATTCACTCCAAAATGACAAATTGCCTCGGATAGTTGGAAAAGAAGCACGGTGATCCCCAATTTTTTTCGTGCATTATTTTACTTGGAAGAAAAACTAGCAATTGGCAAAATATAAAAAAATTTTTGTAAAATGTAAAAATGACATTTTTTTCAATAATTTTTTTTGCCATTATAGAATTTTTTATATTTTGCTACTTGTTAGTTTTTCTTCGAAGTAAAATAATGCACGATAAAAATTGGGGGTCACCGTGCTTGTTTTCCTACAATCCGAGGCAATTGGCCATTTTGAAGCGAATTTTGTACACGTATGTCGCCATAGTAACGGATGATTTGTTACTAAAACTAATAACATTCGAAAGTAGAAACATCAAATATATAAAACCCCAATATCTCTAGAAAAAATCGTAAAAATGCGTTGTTTGAACGTGTCAAAGTGATGAACGATGGAATTATTGAAAACTGTATCGAGCCACCTTAATCTATCAGTATGCGAAACAATTGAGTTGGGGCTCATTTAATTTTTACAATTATCAGCGAAATTTAGAAGTTTCATGGGGGTTGACTCGATGAAAAAGATACCATCGATAACAGGGATCCAAATTAAACGATCACAAAAGTGTAAATTACTGACTTACCAACGCTGACGTTTTTGAAATGTCTTAAAGCACAAGGTTGAGCTTTTAGTAATGACAAGGTCATCGATAAAATGGCAACAAAAGTTAGCATTTCGAGGAAGGCTAGATAATTTGGATAATCTGCTGCTGTCCCTCCTGTGGCTTTCCCCTTCACTGCGCTCTCTGCAGGATGCAATGATATATTTATACTATTTATATACAACGTGCCCTCTGAAATGTGTGGAGTGAATGACTTGTTTTTTCTGTTTCTGTCGTTGATATTCTCTTCATAGTGACAGTTTTTAACAACAAAATTATCATAATTTTGTCATGTGAAATGTAAATTATATTTTTACAGCTGGCTTGAAGCCAGACCTCGACAAATCTACATAATAATTTCCTTCAATTTATATAACTTCGACACTGCAATGACGACAATGATGTCTATTGAATAAGCCATTCTATTTTTATTATACATAAACACGTTTTTTTTTCCCTGCAGTAAAAATACAATTTACAATCTCGCCTTTTATACTATTAGTTGGAAGAACGGGAACAATTATTCAGCGGTATGATAACTCAGTTCTCAGGGGCGCTGGAATTCAGCGGTATGATAACTCAGTTCTCAGGGGCGCTGGAATATCGATAAATACGGGGGCAGATATTCATATATTCGTGTTCGCAGATCGTAAAAACAATCGATTTCAAAAGAAGTTTAAAATGCAGAACACGAATATATGAATATCTGCCCCCGTTATTATCCATATTCCGGCGCCCCTGTCAGTTCTGTCACAGCCTTTCATGACGTCATGATCGCAGAGCAGCTGGCTGTGAAATCCTGCATATATAATAATTATAATCAAAATCTTCTTGCATGCTCTTTCAATTTTTCTTAATTTGCAACCGGTCAACGTTTGACATTTGTTAATTTATTATCCATGTCCTAAATTTAGCCTAAAAGCTTTACCCAACGCATTCTTGAAGCATAATTACTAAAACAAAAAAACTGAAACGTGTCTAAAAACGTTTAAAAATGAAACTATTAACATCCCGCTGTACACATATTAGGCTTGTTAGGTCCACATTGGCATTAGCTATTTGTGTATATACCTGCCTGGAATATAATTATGATTAAAGACATATTGAGGTCCGTTTAATCCGTTCAAAAATTCCCATAAGACACATGAAATCAGGCAAAAGGATTTGGAAGCTATACTGTGTTGTTATAAACTAAAATGATTTATAAACTGCTATAAACCGGAATATGTGTCAAATTTGAAGCCAAGAACTGAATAAAGGCACAAGTATGTGATAAGCATGCAGGTTATATCACATGATTGACTCAGTTATATAAGTTTTATCGCCCGTTTATTGAAATTTGTCTTCGCGCGTGATGGCAGAGAAATTTTAAGGAAATTTTTCGTTGGCCATCCAGATTGTATTTCAGGGAACGCACCAGCAAAAAAGATAATTCCAAAAATTAAATCTTTGCTACAAGGAGCAAAGGAAATTGCGGAAATGAAATTTAATAAAATATTTTCGGGTGCCATAACAGAAAAGCACCTAGGTTTGTTTGTTTTTTATTTATACTTTATTTCTGAGCAGCTTAAAGGTTGAAATATTCTAACTGCATGTGCTTGTGCGTAAATAGATAATGTATAGTCCAAACCTGAAACAAGGAAGGTATTATTCTATGAACGTTTCGACTTTATATTTAATCACCACCAGAAATTATCGTATTACCAGTGAATGCGTTACATATTCGATGTATAATGTTTTGTAATTGTGAATGTGATATAATTAAAACTGTGCCTCATGGTGCTTGCACCAAAACTCAATTTTTTAGACATTGGGGAACGAAAACCTTTACTGGCAACACGGGTAAGACATTGCCATTGGAACATGTCAAATTTTAAAGTTTAATAATAATGTCCGAATCCTGAATAAAATATCAATGAAATCACTCAAATTAATAATCATTTGCTCGTCATGTGACTCATGCATGGTTGCTTCATAAAGGCAGACGAATATCGTGCCGAAGATCGAGCGAGTCTGGTACCCGCATGTGGACACAACAGTAAAAGGAATTTCATACAGGATATGTTTACAAGTTTCACTAGCGTATTAACATTAATATTTATAGCATATTGTGGGGAACTAAGCATCTTTCAACTTTAAAATAATTGTGACCAATTTAGCAAAATTCTATAATTGTTTCATGGTTTTTTGGCCAGGCGTATAACTTTGACAATGTAACAGAGCTTATATATAATATAACAAAAATTATCCGTATGATACGCGAAGCCTTATTATGTTTAGATATATGCATATTAAAGTATTATAAAAGTAGGAAATATCATATCACCTGCCATGCATGGATGAGTAATTGATTATTGCCACAAAGTGCATGGGTAAATATAATTTTTGGCCTTTTGCAAATATCAATTATTTTTCCTTTTGCAAGCTTGACAGTTTGAGTGAATAATTAATGTAGTATTAGTTTTAGTGTCGATCAGTTTGACCAATCTGTCATTATTAGGTAAACAGTGGGCTTGGGTAAACATGTAAAGTTTACATACCTTAAAAGCCCAAGTGAAGTGAAATTTTATCTTAAAAACAGGATGCCTTAGGCAGCTGCAAAGTTCTCATGTCAATCAAATGTGTTTTTTATAATGCGCGGTCGAGCATTTTAAGGATTACGTCAGAGAAAGCTTAATTCGATTAAAATAGTAGAATAAATAGTTAAGTTATAAAATAAGGTTCACAGAAACAATGTTTGATAATTCTAATGCTTGTTGATGATAAATATTTTAAGTTGTGAACATTTCAAAGTATTGATCGATAGAGCTAAAGACCAACTCGACTAGTGCGTCAACGCCTTATACAAACAAGATATGAGAGCTGGAACGAGCTTCTAATGCCAACCCCCATTTCTAACTAACAACGCTGATTGGTTGGATAAGGATCAGCCCACTCTGGTTGATGACGTGCCCTCAACCGTTACTATAAAAGGGCGTGCACAAGAACTTCAGACGGAACCCCGAAACGAGAGTGGACTAGCGGAGTAAAAAGCATATGAAAGTTAGGAAGCTCAACCTGACAGAACGGACAGCCAAGACAAGAACAGAAAACGACGAAGTTCCGAACGGACGAAAAATTTGAAGAGAAGAGAAGAGAAGAACGGAGAAAGAAGAGAACATTATTGAACTGTAGTAAAACCTCGTAAAAGATCTCCTACCTCGCGCATATAGAAAATAAAAACTATATAACACGTATACTATTCCTACTGAAGAACTGTCGCATCAATTGCCATAACGGCTGGTCAGATTTACTGTTCAAAGAAACACAATTAATGATACTAAAATCGAATAATGCTTACATTCTTTAGAGTTATCGTAGTTTAGTGCTGTATCTATATAATTCATAGAGTACAAGTTACATATAGCTAATTGATTATCTTTAAGTAATGTAATGTAGTTTAATTTAGCACATATTTTCTCTTTTGTAACGATGTTTATATTCCTATTTGTACTAATTCTATGTACATTTATAGCGAGTTCTTGCAGGGTGATTGTTTCATTCAGTTGTAAAATATATTCCAGCGTATCTTAAAAATGACGTCAAAATTAGCTTTTCCAAGTATATATTTTATTTATTTTCCAATTCCTACAGTGCAAAATTGCTCTTTGCTCTCAGCATCCGGACAATTCTAACAGATTATTGACCGAGCGTCAGATCTGCACTGTGAAATACCACACCAACGCTTTTTAGTATATGGACTGATCGACGACGGAGCGAGGTTCATGTAAAATAATCACAGTACGGACCGAACAAGGGTCAATAATCTGTTTATTGCTGCCGCAGCGAGCGAGCCTGAAGCGAGCGAGCAAGGCAGCAGATCCTAATTTAGAAATGGGGGCGCAAATCAAAATTTGTCTTTGGCGCATTGCATGACGGTACCAGTGGCAGGGATGGAGGAACATATTTTATTTTGGGGGTGGCTGAATTTAAGTTCCGGCCATAGTTGACACGCTGAGAGCATATGTTATGTAGCGTAAGAGAGAAATAATTAACATTCACCTGAACACATTGTAGGATATTTCTTTTGTATTTTAGCAGGCGAACAGCAATTTGACGACCTTATTGTTGACGACCTTATTGTTACACGTTTGTGAAATTCTTTCATGTATTTTGAGGAGGGCTACGATTTTTACCTTGCGCGGTGCGGTGCGCGATACCACGTGTATGGTATGTTAATTCATATTGTGAATAAAGGTGAAAACGTGCTTTGGAACATTGTATTAGCGTATTCGGGTGCCAGTAGATTTTCGATATAAACGAAACATAATACTCTTGTCACCTGCGGTGAAAATTTTTGACGCAGGGAATGTTGGAGTTCGGTGTCAGGTTATACCATTCCACGTGTTGGCTGCATAAACTTTGGCGAATTTATTTCGAAGAAGGAAAACTATTTCGGTGAGTTTTTTGTAATCAAGTTCATATTTATTCAATGTTTTATTCATATTTAACTGTTCTTTTATATTTTATAAGTTGATATTTCAGACAGAAGGTGAAATTTACGTAATTCTACGTTTTGGCTACATATTATAGTACTGCGAAGTATTACAGGTATAAGGTATTTTGGTGAGTTTTTTACTGTCGAGTTCCTATTTATTCGATATTTTATTCATATTGTTAAACGATATACTTCACTATAGGCTTTTAGCCTTTTATGCCGAATTATGACTTAAATACTAGGATAGTGCATTTATTTGAGCGATCATTGAATATATCATTAAAAATTGCGTCTGTTTTGTTTGTTTAGCGCGCGGTGTTTATTAACTGTTCATTTATATTTTCCAGGTTGATATTTTGGTCCGAAGGTGAGGCTTCAACTCTTATATAATCGAGTCTTTGTTCTCAGTTGCATCAGTAATTGAATGCATTGATTTTTGAATTTTTGTCAGTCATCTGTCATCTGTCACTCTTGTTTTGTTGCTGTATTTGCGCCTCGTTTTTGTGTCTTGTTAAGACACTCACTAGATCATCAAAAGTTTATTTCATGTGTGTTTTTGTATCTCATTGGATTCGTCGTATCCGTTACAGCAAAAGATGATTGACACGGAAGAACTGCACTTAACAGAAACAACATTTTCATAACGTTTTAATAACTATATCGAGCGATTTAAAAACATAATTGACAAATTTAAGTTCTGTTGGGGGCTCCGTTGCATAAAAAACAATTTATTGATAGGTTTCGTAGAACATTTCTGTTCTGGAACAACATTGTTTTTGTCATTTTCCTTAAATAATGATAATAAGCTGAGGCTAAGCACTTTGTACTATATTTTATATTTCCAATCTCTTCTTGAACGTAAAAAAAATTTACGGTGGTTGTGATTTCTGTTCTTCTAAAAGTTTGATGTTTTCATTGCATGGCTTACTCACAGGCAGCACTCCCTACCCTATGGGTACCCTAGTTATATGGCTGAACCGCATGAAACACCCGGGATACTGGTCCGGATGCAGAATAATGATTCAAACCACGGTCCGGATATATGGGTTTTTACGCATGCCTATATATAAAAGTTAACCGCTTTGCCGGAACGGGATGGGTTTTTTTACACCGCGTTTACGTAATTGTTTTATACACTTTTCTCACGAGAACTCCCGGAACGTTTATGAATATAATTTTATTAAATTGGGGAAATGGCGATGAGCAATTAAACACTGACGAGTGTCACAAAGATTGAAACAAAACAATATATATTTTTAGAAAAGTTTAAAAAAACCTCTAATAGACAATTTTTTCTATTTAAAAACGTTCTATTAGTTCCGTTTATATTTAAAGTTTATTTAAAAATCTTCATATTGCAGTTACAAAACTGAATTGCATGAAAGATATTTACAATAAATTATAGTTAAAAATCTAAGTTTGTAAGATATTTTAAATACAAATAAAATCCAGATATATAATGATGGAAAAATAATTAGGTGGAATGTTTCGCTGCATAATACGTGATAAAGGAGTTCTTACAACGATCGGTACGAGCTCGTGATGTGTGGAATGTTCTCTTTTTCGCAGACGACTTGTGGCGGTGCCAGTCCGAGGTGGAAGGAGGTTAGCTAGCTTGTGGTAGCTGTTAGCAACAATCTCTTGAAAAAGTTTTTGGGAACAAGATTCTCTACGTTCAAACAGTGTTTGGAGGTTTGCTTTAGCCATACATTCCTTGTAGGGGATTTTTGGGAAAATAATCTGCAGTGCCCTTCTTTGGATTCTTTCGATCTCATCAGATAGATACTTGGGGAGGCTGCTATGGTATAATTCGCACGCGTATTCAAGAACAGACCTAATACACGAACAGTAAAAATGTATTAGGTCTGCAGTTTCAACTTTTGCTCGTTTCAGTTGGCGGAGAAGATTAGACGTTTAGAAGCTTTCGTTGTAATCTGGTCAATGTGATCGTTCCATTTTAAATCGTTCCTGATTGTGACTCCCAGCACTTTAGCAGATGCAACCAGATCGAACCGTCGATCATTCACATCAATTGGAACATAAGTTGGACATTCCTTCTTGAATGAGATGACTAGTTCCTTACATTTGATCGGGTTTAGTTGGAAGGAATTTTCGCAGGACCAATCAGATATCTGTTTGATAATACTCGATAGGTTGCTTTCTTCATGTTGTGGAACAACTTCGGATACTGTAGTATCATCGGCGAACTTCCATATACCAGTTGATGGATCGTCAGGCAAGTCAAGGTCATTAATCATTGCCAAAAACAACCAAGGGCCTAACCGGGTGCCTTGCGGTACTCCAGCAGGTACGTTTAGCCAATTAGAGAAGGAGTTATGGTCTAACTTTACTCTTTGGGATCTATCTCTTAGAAAGTCAATTATCCAATTTAAAACAGTGGGTTTGACTCCAAGACTTAACAACTTTGCAATCAGAAGATTATGGTCCACCAGATCGAAAGCCTTACGATAATCAAGTAAAGAAACTCTTACTGTGGAGCTTGTTCCGTCTGTAGCATGTAGCCAATGATGAAGCATGGATATAAGGGCAATTGTAGTCGATGAGCCGGGAAGAAAACCAAACTGGTGGGGGTCAATCGATTTTAATAGAGTTGGTTTCAGTTCTCTTTCGATGACTATACTCTCTGCGATCTTGGATAAGGTTGACGTAAGGGAGATGGGCCTTAAATCCTTGTTAAAGTCACATATGGTAGGCGCCTTTGGAACAGGTGGAACATTTGCAAGTTTCCACACCGGAGGAACTTTACATTCTCGAAATGAGGTGTTAATGATGTCAGTAACTGCCGGAGCGAGAAGGTCAGAGAACTCTTTCAGGACCCAGTTAGGCAAATCATCAGGGCCACCAGCACGAAATGTGCTAATCTCTTTAAGCTTCTTCACAACAGATGTTTCAGTAACAGATATCGGTTCGTCGTTTTCGTTATCTACGCAAGTGTCCTCCGATAAAGGAGAGTAATTTTCCATTACACTAACGAATGCTTCGTTAATCTTGTTGCACAATTCTTTGTCCTCGAGCTTTAAATCCGCGTGTAAGATAGATCTCAGGTCATGTCCACTAGCTTTGGCTGGATGGCAGAGCTGTTTTATCTCCTTCCACCAATCGCGAGGTTTCGATTTTCGTAGGCCATGAACTTTATTACGGTAGTACGCAGCACGGCAACATTTTCTTTGGCGGTTTACTTTATTCCTCAGTAGTTTAAATAGAGATTTCTTACCCGATGCAAGGGCTTGTTGTCTACGTGATATCAAGGACTTTAGCTGACTATTCATCCATGGACGGTCATTTATGTGGACTTTTATACACCTTTTGGGCATGATGGTATCTAAGCCATAGTTCACAATCTGCGTTAGCAAATTTAGCTTCTCTTCAGAGGATTGAACTGAGGAAATTAAATTGGACCAAGGGACTTCCATGAAAAAGCGCCCAACACTTGCTACTTTACTAGGTCTTTTATCTCTTAGTTTGATACTTTTTGTATGGGGCTTTACTTGTTTCGTGCGGGACTTGGGAAACAACGTGACTGTGCAATGATCCGAAAGGCCAAATGGCGGAGCGGAGGTGGCATGCGAATAAAATTCCTTCAGGTTGGTAAAAATTTGATCAAGGGTGTTAGGACCTCGAGTTGGAAAATCCACATGGGTTTTCAGCTGAAATTTTCTCGCGGATGATTTAAAATCAAACCTGTTAAAATCACCCGCAAGAATCACAGCACTATTGGGATATGTTGATTCCACTTTTTCCAGTGAGGATTGGAGATAGTTATGCATAGATTTTTCATCGGCATCGGGAGGATGGTAAATAATTGCTGTGATAATATTTGAGAAACCGCGTGGAAGGCGTTTAGGTCGTAACAGTGTCCACAGGACTTCATGATCTTCACTTTGTAAATCTGGAAGTGGGTGGCAAACAATGCCATTCTTTACATACAAACACACTCCACCACATTTTTTGTGTTTGCGGTCACGTCTCATTACTCGATAGCCCGAAATATTAATAGCTTCATCTGGGATTGAATCTTTAAGCCATGTTTCGGTAAAAAGTGCGATGTCTACGTCTTTCAATTTCATGAAGTAAGCAATCTCGTCGATCTTTGGGGCAAGAGACATCGTGTTTGAGAGCAACATCGAGGGAACGTAGTAAAATGCCACGGATGAAGTCTGACTTTGTTCTCCGGTTTCAGTTGATGGATTAATTCTTTTAGTTTGCTCAAATGTGTCCGCTTGAATATTTAATAAGTTCTCATAGTTGGCAAAACACTGATTCCTTCCGACTTTGATTCTTATAAATTGGTTCGATTTAATAACCTGGATACTCTTAATAGATTCCCTTGCACATCCACCACGATTTCCTCTGAATGGTTTCAATAAGCCAATCCGTTTGAGATCATTCCACACAACAGACGACAATCTATTTAGCGGCTTGTTCAATAACAACTCGCCTTGACAGCGAGTTTGTAGTTTCCATAATTTTCCAATGTTGAATAGCGAGTTCCTTGTGTAATACAGCATTATATGGGATCCTTGCAATATATAAGTGGATTTAGCAACTTATCATTTATAAAAACAACGCAAAAGCGGTAAAAACTTGGAAAATATGTGGAGCTATTAAGATGGCAGCCGAACAATGGCGCTCACAATATAATGCCGTCGTTTCAGACGTCGATGTGCTTTATCTCATTACCATTAGGTTCGGTATAAATTTTAAAACGTATCTTAAGTGGGCCTTTCCGTCTATAAAAATCATTTGGATAACATTAAACTTTAGCCCTAAAAGAGTTGTATGAATTGAATGTGCAGTCACCATAGTTACGAACACCATGCAGAGACCCGCGATAATGGAAAATGGACGATTTTTGTAAACACGATAAATAACCACGTTTACTACAACTGTAACGGTGAAACTGGTTTTCATTAGTATTAAATATTTTTGCCCCGAGCTGAACCTAGAACAAATGAAATTTTGCAGAAAATTTTATCAAGGGGGAATGAGAATATTAGTTTGCTAAGAAAAGCGATCAAAAAAGTTTTGCATATGTTTATAGACTATATGGAGAGCAATACAACAGAACAATGAAAATGCCCCTAATAATAAAATTTTTTCTTTATTTTCACGTTCTTTATTTATTTTTTCTCAAAAAATATAGGCAGGATCGATTAGGGAGACATTTTTTAAAATTGCATCCATTGAAATTTTTAAAACATGAATCGTGATTTTAGTGTGGTAGACCACCTTAAACTTTTCTATCAATAAAACATCGCATCCAAAGTATTTATACTAAAATATAGGAAATCGAATGTTCTTCTATTTTATTCATCATCATATATTCATCGTATTAATTGTGATTATAAAGATTATCATCAACCTTAACGACTGCAATTTTAGACAATTAACAAAAGTTTTGATTATAATATCATAAACATGGCTTAATCTATATTCAACAATGTAAATCGTAATAATCCTCTTTAGAATATGCGTTTTATTTCGACATAACCATCTCCCTTTTCATTCACGTCTTCTACGTTTGCTTGCTTCTTTCCAGCGTTGTAAGAACCACCTCCTCCACCACAAGATTGAAGATTATTATTTCCTGATGCTCCACCAGAATATCCTCCACCTCCTCCTGCACCTCCTGCGGATCCATACGCTCCCCCACCTCCTCCAAATCCACCGACAGCATTATAATAGTGAGCACGTCCTCCTGCACCCCCCTGAAGAAAACCTCTCCCTCCTTCCCCGCCGTAACCGTAGGAACCGCCAAACTGAGAACTGCTGCGTCCATTTCTGTAAAATCCACCACCACCACCACCTTTAAATATAAATTTGATATTAAATGAGTTATATATCAATGGAGGTTTCGGAAAGCAAAAGCTCAATTTATGCATGCTTGTTTTGGCTATATCCGCAATTCAAGTTTCCCGCCAGAAAATAGCAGCAAATCTCTGACTTACTTAGCAACGGTTATAGGACATTCTTTGAGAATTTGATGAGCATGTAAAGAGGGGTCACAATTGCTTTTGTGAATACTGCTCATAACCTGGGCCGTAGGTAGACCGCTTAATTTTTTTTGGAGGGGGTATATTAATATATGAATGTTTGGCAGCTTGTTTTGAATAAATGTGTAAGATATATTTTAAGTGAATCCCTGTGATGCGAGTATGGATTTATTAGTGTTGAAAACGTCTGTTTATTTAAGGCTTAAAAGAAAAACAAGTAAAAAAGTTAGTTACCCTTTTGTCTTGTTACGTTTCAGTAACTTTAGAAAAATCTAAAGACCTGACCTGAGTTATCGCTGTCTGCTTGTAATGCGCCACTCCCATTCTTCCCACCAGACCAAATGGCGCAGAACGCTTTACACTGATTTCTTCTTCCAAATGTTCCAGTACTTGCATCGCAGTTTGCCAGTCTATTACTCAGCCTTTCAACGCCACCCCCGCCTCCAGCAACAATAAGCGGTGTGTTTAACGATTTCGCTACAAATGATCCACCACCTCCCCCTGACGACCAACTTGCAGTATTCACTAGAGCTGTCTGTCCAACCAATATCGTAATTACATCTCCTTTCTGAAAGTTAAATTCACCCCTCATATAAGCCCCACGACCTCGAGCAGTTGAGCCGTATTTATCATATCCTCCAGCTGCACCAACTGCAGTGATCTCGTATGTTCCAGTGTAGGGAACTGTCCAGAACTGTGTCCCATTCTTGAGAGTCACCATGTTGTCATTATCTTTCCCCACATAGTAGGAGCCCAGGGATGAAGGACCAAGACGACCAGTTGCTCCAAGACTTGTAAAGTTGGCGTGGAACATTTTTATTGCTAGAAATTAATAGATAACTAAGATATATTGATGTACTTTACATTTTGTAATGGAACTCGCATAATTCAAACAATACACATATTGTGTAAAATATACACCATTAATTGATGGGGAAAACATATCAAGCACAACTTTTGTTTTACAACTGTGTACAAAAAACCCGAAATATCTGTGCTTGTCATTAAACAAAATTTTAAAAAATTCTTGCACCTTTCTGGTTATTATTCAAAAATTCTTGCACCTTTTGCGAATGGTTCTTCTCTTGTTACTAGCCCTTTTGCTGATTTAACAATCAAGGATTTTTAGAAAACCTTTTGATTGCAAAAACGTCGTGTTTTATTCGGTCAGTAGTCTTTGGCTCTTGTTGCTTGACTCTTAGTTATATTTGTCCCCGCTCCGGCGCGAAGCACCGTGCGAGGGTACTAATCCTGCCCGGAAATTAGGAATTACACCCGGGTATTTTCACAGAACATAGTCATAGGCGAAAGCAAAGTTGCCCAAATGTCATGGTCGTTCAATAGTCATGGTAGTTGTGCGCATGCGCGAAATTTGAACGAAGAAAGAACGGTCGTCTACAACTTGCTGATTGGATAAGACAAAAAGAGAGTATGCATGATAGCGTCAGCATTTTAACCGTCATTTTGCAAAGTATTTCAGTTTTAAAAATATAAAATGAAATCATGGAGTCAAATATTAAAACAATAATAAAAGATTTAAAGATCATCACAGCGCAGAAACAGTTGGTGAAATAGGAACGACTTGTAGTTTATAATCTTTGAAGTGGTAGGTGTCTATATTTTGCTTATTCAGGGTTTGCTGTAGGAATGCATTGTTATTTTGACAAGTACGAGCTTGGTATGTCGTTTTACAAGGAGCTAACCGACCGTTTAATGCTTTACATCATCGCTTTAACTTTAAAATGAGTTCTCAAAGGTGTACTTCAGAGTTTTGATAAAACAAATATCACTTTATAGCTTATATAGTCGCTAAAATCATTGAATAAAATAAATAATCGAAAAAAAAACATTCGACGCTTAGTGCTTGTATATGGTTATTAAAATTATTTGTGCTGTTTTGATGTTTTGAAGGTTTAGCTATAGAAAAGTTTAACACTCACTTAAACTGCAACGTAATGCAGCAGGCAAACAGGTGATTTCTGTTCACCTTTACGACTGTCTTTGTTTCCGAAAAATTTGCACGAGTTATTTCATAATATTAGCGTAGAAAGTTAGGTCTGGGTAGCGCACGAAATATTTTGCTTCGTTTAAAATGGCGAGGGGTTGCTGCATTCATGTATTTCTAGTACAAAAATATTACCGTGTTACGTACCATGCCCACAAATTTTTTATCCTAATACCGTGGGTCACTTAATTTAACCGTAGTGGAATGCTTTTAACCGTTTTTTAACAAATACAAAATTTAAATATTGCAACAATATTTGCACAATTTATCAAATTAGATATTGGTGAAAATATTTTACGCGTATTGCTCTTTGACCGAAGGGTAAACGCTCGCGGCTTGTAAGGTAGTAAGTCTTTCTCACGCAAATAGCGATAAAAAAAGTCATTTTTTTTAAATGGTTAGTGGAAGTTTGGAATTCAAAACAAGCTAATCAGAGTTTCTGTAGTTAGGGCGAACTGTTGTTCCATGTTTTCTTTAACTTGTCTTTCGTTTAAAACTTCACGCGTAAAATTGTTCGACATTTTAAAAATTCCGCGTGAAACGTCATTGTAAACTTTTCCGCGCGGGATTGTCTCATCCTGCACGCCCACTAACCAATCAAATTGCGTGTTTCATTGCAGTTATTATATAATAAAATTTGACGATATTTAGAGGCGTGATAACATGATAGGTAAGGTCAGAAAAGGTTTTCGCAACTCCATTCACCCCTTGAAAAAATCGTAACCATGCATATAATTATATTTTCAAAACTAACAGCGTGGTTCTCTCTTTTATATTGTGGATACCTAGATTTTTAATCCCTTGACAAATACAAAATGAAATATAATTGTTTCAGCATTATTTCCATAATTTATCGAATGAAAATTTCTCAAAATATACTGCTGTTATATCAGATAAGCAGGGCAAAAATCTTCTACTGCACTAATGTCGTGACTCGCAGTGCGCTAAGCAATATCATGATTACCTGAACACATTTTTCCATTTCCAAAATATCCACGCTTACATCGACATTCATACGAGCTAACAGTGTTGACACACGTAGCATTCACGCTGCAATTGTATTTCCCAAGAGAGCACTCGTCTATATCTGAAAGATGCTAACCGTGTTATTTATTTTGAACATCTACATTAACATAAATCAATTAACATTAATGACCTAAATTGAGATGGACAATGTAAATCTGGGGAACCTCTGCTAGAACACATCTTGTACATTTGACATCTTATACATAAATTATATGACTTGAATTCATTCATATCGGCGGAGCGCGATTTGTTATGAGTGAATATCATTGCTTTTTCGATGAACATGGTTACCTTCACCGAAGGTAGAGAGTCATCACGGGGTGAGGGGGCAGAAAAGGACTTGGGGGCTTTGAGCATCGGTTACATATTTGAAAAGCTTTGAGTTAATAATAAAGTAGCAACAATCCTGGTCAAAACTTTGACGGCACTCACGGTGTTGTTTCACATTACAGTCAGCAGTTGCGGGATTTATTTCAAAATTCTCCCCCTTTTCCACACAAATCAATGTTAAGCGATGTGTCATAACTAATTCAAAAATTTAGCATAGATTCGACATTGATTAGGGGGGTGAGGGGGATTGACACAGAAATCGACACACAAAAAAGAGTACAAGTCGATGATTTTCCTTTTCCTGGATTTTGCTTCCGTTTTTTCGGCCGCGGTCCCTATAAATAATGTATTTGACATTTTTGGTTTACTTTTTTTTTAAAAATTTGACGTCGTCGTCCTTTTTCCAGTCAACTTTTTACTACAGCTGGACACCAACCGAAATTTTCATCCCAGAAATATGGGATCTCAAGAATATCCCTGCAAAATTATTTTTTCCTAGTTTACCGGTTAGATCATTGTTGTACCTGAACACACTTTTCCATTTCCAGAATATCCACGCATACATCTGCATTCATGAGAACCAAGGGTGTTGATACACGTGGCATTCACGTGACATTTGGCTGTCCCAAGCGAGCATTCGTCAATATCTGGAAAACTTAATCGTTTTACTTTGATGTTGTGTAAGCGTTAGAGCATGATCACATGAACTCTAATGGGAGTTATAGTCCTAAGAAAAAACGTTCACGACCGTCCTAAGAAAAAACGTTCACGACCGCCTGCGTGATCTTTTATCCTATTCGATCCACTCTTTATCCCTTAGGGCACACGTGATCATTCCCCAACCGTCATAAAATACAATAAAGAGTAACTTCAAAATAAATAACGTTTTATTAAATCTACGTTTCAACTAACTTGTAATCGTCGTCAGATAGGAGCTTTATATCGCTATTGAAATATGATCAGTGCTTTGGAAGCCTTATTAAGATCTTGTTTTCGTCGGCGTATTTTAAGGCACTCTTTATAGAGTGATGTCCAGTGATCATATGAGGTATAGTGCATGGAAATACTAGAAGCTGATTGGACGAGTGAAGCTATATAGGTATCCTCTAAGCGCCTGTTAGTGATGAAGCAAACGCTGTGGTCGCTCTGAGATTGGTTTCTGTTTTTGCGGTAATTTTAACCATATTAATTGAAATGTTAAGGTTGTAGGATACATGCAGCTTTAAAAATATGGGGGGGGGGGGTTAATGTTATTTTCAGTATCAGGGACTTCAATTTCCTACAACTGGCAAATCATTTGTAATAAAATTTCTGCAATTCTTACCTTTTGTCACCTAAAGTAAAAGAATAGAAGACGTTAAAAATTAAAATAATGTTGAAAAAATAGCAAGTTGTAAATCTACGACATTATAATTTATGGAAAATTAATAACTTTTATTAACAGTACGCGAGGTCTTTACCGAGGAAAATCGGACCGAAGTCTTTTTGAACAGATCGAGCTCGAAGAGCGAGGTTTGTACAAAAAGATCGAGGTCCGATATTTCTCGGTAAAGACCGAGCAAGCGAGGTTAGTAAGAAGTTTATTATGTGGCCTAAGACATGTATTTGTACTTGAAATAAACAAGAAATGCAAGAATTCGTATTAATAGCCTGGTACGCATTTGATAAAAACAAAATATTGAATTATTTAGTTTACCTAAACTGTCTGGAGACGTCTTATTAATTTCAAAATTAATTAAATTTTCCCTTGAATATTTATTTGTGCCTTTTTCATTCAGAATTTCTCTGTTTTTCATCTCGTAATGGATCGCCGGTAACGTTAACCTCGGTCTGTTATGGGAAAGTGCCGGTCCATTACGGGAAAGTAATGGACCGCTGAAAATTCTTCTCAGCCAATCACTGAGCTCCATCTCACCGGAAGTGACGCTTGCCATATAACAAGAATAAGTTAATTTTCCCACTAAATATTTATATTTATATATAGCTATATTTAATCGCATAAGACCAAGTAAAATTACTTTGGCCTTAGCTATCTCGGCTTCAAAGGAAGGGGGGGTGGGGATATCTGTGAACAAAAAAATTCTTAAAAGCAAAAACGCCTATCAATGCATTCACATTTTATATGAAAATAACGTTTTCGAATATTTACTCGATGTTTTTTCCAATAACTATTGGTCACTAGTACTTCGCAGTTCGCATATACTTCACCTTAACATCCTCGTAGTAAACCCATGGTCCATATTTAGTCGTTGTTTTATTCCACTTCTTTGTGCTGTTGCTAAGTTGACAGTTTACGGAATAAACACTGCTTGGTCTCACTCTGTAGTTATAACCATAACAATTTTCTTTCGCAATGCACAGTAAATGACACTCTCCCAAGCGGTGGATATTGTGACTTGAAATCGACTCAGATGGACGCAAGGCTTCATTTCCTGCATTGATTTATAATTAACGAGAACTCGAATTGTAACGCAGTAACGGCTAATTTCATCATGTCAAAATTGACTGCATGGGACATGTGTAGCCTATATGAAATTTCGTAACGTGACCTATATTCATTAATTGAGCTGTTTAGGCTATTACGGCGCATCGTTCACGACTTCATGCATGAAGAACATGTCTTTCGCAGATTAAACAGCAAAATGCAAAATTAATTAAGTTACGGCTGATTTAATGTGAATACACAGGGTGTATCAAAAAAAATGTCCAAAATGTAAAATTTTCGTTTTTCAGAATATTTTGTAGAATTTGGCAAATTTTCGTGTTCCTAGAGATAGTTAAGACTTATCTGGTATACCTAGGCCATGTTTGGTTTTCATTAACAAAATTATTATGTTACCGGGGGGGTGGTTTCTTTCCACTGATATTGAGAAGGCTTGCGCGCGAAAATGTAAAGCTGAAATTGAGATATTATTTAGCGGTCTAAAATTTGGAAAGCGTTTTATTAAACTGTCAAAGTTTCAGGAAAAATAATGCATACAGGGAGCAACGCGCAACTCCTAAAGGTGATAAATATTTCATTGCGTGCAGTGGATAAAATGCATCGTTGATTTTAGCGTGACCGATCTCATGCAAGGTGGGCAAATGAATAAATTAAAGCGAGAACTGAACAGAAAAACAAGGAGATTTATTCGTGATGTTAATCCTCAGCATGTCCACCATTTCATTCTAAGCAAACTGCGGCTCGTCTGAGCATAGTAAACACTGAACAGCGAACCATTTGTCTGTCCATTCGCCTAGATTTGCCGGTGGTAGCGTAGGCGATTTGCAAGAAAGAATTTCGAACGAAATGGAGAATTTGAGGCAGGACAGACAAAAGGTTAACCGTTCAGTGTTTACCATGCTCAGTCGAGCCGCAGTTTGCTTAGAAAGAATTTTTTTTATACACCCTGTATACTCGTGTAGAAAAAGGCCAAAATATAATTTAAAATCAAACATGAATTTTTTTTGGTCACTGTTAATTCCTTAGCTTCATTACTGAATATAATGATGCATTTAGCACATTTACATAAAATTTTTGTTTCAACAATTTTTCCTCCCGCAAAACATTCTGTTATTGGCCGTGATAACTCAAATAACTATCAGTATCCGAAACAATTGAATTGGAGCTCATTTGATTTTTACAACTAGCAGCTCGCGAAAGAAGTTCGGGTTAACTCGATGAAAAAGTTACCATTGATAACAGGGATCCAAACGATCACAAAAGTGTAAATTACTGACTTACCAACGCTGACGTTTTTGAAATGTCTTAAAGCACAACGTTGAGCTTTTAGTAATGACAAAGTCATTGATAAAATGGCAACAAAAGTTAGCATTTCGAGGAAGGCTCGATAATATGGATAATCTGCTGGTGTCCGTCCAGTGGCTTTACACTTTACTGCGCTCTCAGGATACAATGATATAAATATACTATTCATATACGACATGCCATCTGAAATGTGTGGACTGAATGACTTGTTTTTTTCTGTTTCTGTAGTTTATATTCTCTTCATAGTGACAGTTTCTAACAACAAAATTATCATAATTGACTTTTTAGAGACCTTTGTGCGTACAAGCCACCTGTGAACTTTCTGTCGTTTTTATTGAACATTAAACTTTATTTGCATGGCACACCGCAGCTGTCTGAGCGGTATTAAAATAAGCAAATTCTATTATATATTCTATTATATATATACAGGGTGTATAAAAAAAATTCGAATCGAAATTTTGCGTGTAATAATGCAAAATATATTTGACAAATTTGGTTGATTTTTACACCATTGTTAAGTTAATTTATTTTTCTTTCAAATGACACGTTGTACGTGTAATTTAGTTGAAAAATGAAGAACTACTAATTCGACAAAAAAGTTCATAAAAATCACAATTCTCCACCGATTGGAACTGGACGTTTATTTTATTAAAAATTAGTCCTAAAGGGCTTTAAAATCTAATCATTACTGAATACTAAAACGCAAATTCATCGCAAAAATTCTGCTTATTCAATGTTCAACGATAGAAGTTTGAAGAACACAATGCCTTCATTAATTGAATTTGCATTTTTTTTTGTCTGGAGGACTCATTTCGAATTCCCATCGCAGGAAAAATTTGATTTCGAGCAACAATTTTTAAAAGACGATAACTCGGCCAGTTTTGGTCGGATCGATGTAAGAACGGTATAATCGTAAACTAAATAAGCTAATCTTTGTTTTCATATAAAAATTATAATATATATATAATAACTACATAATAACTACATAAAATAGAATTTACAATTCTCGCCCTTCATACTTTTAGTTGGAAGAACGGGAAGAAATAAATTCAGCAGCATGATAACTCAGTTCTGTCACAGCCCCTCATGACGTCATGATCGCAGATCAGCTGGCTGTAAAATCCTGCATATATAATATATTCAGAATCTCTTGCACGCTCTTTCAATTTTCCTTAATCTCCAGCCGGTAAAAGTTTGACATTTTTTAATTTATTATCCATGTCCTTTAGCTTAAAAACTTTACCCAACGCATTCTTGAAACATTATTAAAAAAACTGAAGCGTGACTATTAAAACGTTTTAATAATGAAACTATTAACTTCCCGTTGTACACAAATTAGCCTTGTGACGTGCACATTGGCATTAGCCATTTGTGTATGTACCTGCCTAGTCTAATACTCCTGAAATAAATTTCACGAGAATATTTTAAAGTTTAGGTTTAAAATAGGCAAAAATAGGTTTGCACCTTTTCGCGTTCACATAACTTGTTTTATGGTAAAATCTAGCTAAGTGTCAATGCTTGTTTTAAGCATTTATTCATGCTCAGATGAAATGGGCTTGTGTGTAAAAACCGGCGTTGTTTTGGTGGTGAAATTTCAACTCTTCATGGCCGCCATACATCAGTGCTGGATCCAGTCTTTTTAGAGTTCACTGGGTAATACCCGCCATTTAGCCAGAAAATAGCAGCAAACCTCTCATCATGTGGCAACGGTTATGGGACATTGGCGCCCATACTTTGAGAATTGTGACATACGCAGTGCTCGGAAGTTTTTCATCGAATTGGATAATGCTTTTCTATACTTTCTAAAGAACGAAGCTATGCTATTGGTCGAAACGGAAATGTATTGTAAAGTTCAGCTAATGAAAATCATTCTTGCGAGGAGCTGCGACCCTACTCTGAGAATTTGATGGGTTACAGTTGCTTTTGTGCATTCTGCTAATATAACCAGGGCCGTAGCTAGACCGCTTAATTGGGGTGTGTGTATATTCATATATATTTATGTTTATCTACGGCAGGAACACTAGCGTACAAAAGAAATCAGTCGGGCATAAGATGAATTCATGAATATACCCCCCCCCAATTAAGCTTCTAGCTACGCCCCGCTCATAACAATAGGTAGGCGACTTGTTTTGAAGTGTCTCCTTCTGCGTGTAAGATATCCTTTTAATTAAGTGAATCCTTGTAATTATACGATTATGGATTTATTAGTGTTAATTGTTGATGTGTTGATTTAAAGCTTAACAGAAGAACAAATAAAAATAACTTTTGTGTCGTACTCTCTGGCTATTTTATTTATAAACATTTTTATATTTAGTTAGCCTTTTGTCTTGTCACGTTTTAGTAACTTTATAAAAATCTAAAGACCTGACTTGAGTAACTGCTGTCTGCTTGTAAAGCGCCACTCCCATGCATTCTTCTCCCCAGACCAAATAGCGCAGGACGCTTTACATTGATTTCTTCTTCCAGATGTTCCAGTACTTGCATCGCACTTTGCCAGTCTATTACTGAGACCTTCAACGCCACCCCCGCCTCCAGCAACAATAAGTGGTGTGTTTGACGATGTCGCTACAAATGATCCGCCACCTCCCCCTGACGGAAAACTTGCAGTATTTACTGGAGCTGTTTGTCCAACCAATATCTTAACTACATCTCCTTTCTGAAATGTAAATTCACCTCTCATATAAGCCCCACGACCTCGAGCAATTGAGCTGTATTTATCATATCGTCCAGCTGCACTAACTGCAGTGATCTCGTATGTTCCAGTGTAGGGAACTGTCCAGAACTGTGTCCCATTCTTGAGAGTCACCATGTTGTCATTATCTTTCCCCACATAGTAGGAGCCCAGGGATGAAGGACCAAGACGACCAGTTGCTCCAAGACTTGTAAAGTTGGCGTGGAACTTACTCATTACTAGAAATTAATACTATATATAGTATATACTGAATATTATACTGTCGACAGCAAATCCTCGCTATAGAAGTGTGTGCATATTTTTTCGCTTATTTTATTCGCAAAAGGCCACTTAATTCTGATTTTATTATTACAATCTTCAAAAGAGACCTCTGTCATGCCTGGGACAAGTGCAGGCAAATGATTACGCAAACCCTTGAAAAAAATTTACACATTTTTTATGAGTAAGGAAATCCGAAATGCCTTGCCTGGCAGGTTGTTTTGCAAGGCGTTCAAATAACCTGCCCCATGAAATGAAATGAAATAGAAATTGCGATGAAAAGTATTTTATGCAAAATACTAAAAAGATGATTTTATGTATGCATCAATATCTCTTCTAATACGAAATACACCACTGCAAGGCGTTCGGTCCGTCACCCGGCCCTTTATTGCACGGATGAAGGCCCGGCCGGGTTAACGGACAGAGAGCTTTGCAGTCCTTAGAAAATTAGATCGTGGTGTACCGACAAACTAATTTATTTAAAATTTAACTTGTCTTACCCTATCAGCATACTATTACTAGAAATAAATGCCTGCAGCAACCCCTCGCTATTTCAAACGAAGCAAAATATTTCCTGAGCTAGCCAGACCTAACCTTCAATATTATGAAATGTCCTAAATGTAAAGCCGATAGCTGATGTTTCAAATATTTCGGAAACAAACACAGTCGTAAAGGTGAAGTGAAATCACCTGTTTTCCTGCTGCTTTCCGTTACATTAAGTTATAGACTTTCACAGTTTAAGTGAGAGTTAATACTTCATTATAGCTAAACCTTCAAAACATCAAAACAGCCCAAATAATATAAATAACATAGCAATGAACGTCGAATGTTGTTTTTCGATTATTAAATTTATGCAGTGATTGCAGTCGACGATATATAAACCTTTGTTAAAAAAAAAAGGTGATATTTGTTATATTAAAACTCCGAATTACACTTTTAAGGACTCTTTTGGAAGTTAAAACGATGATGTAAAGCCTTAAATAGTCGGTCACGTCTTCGCAAAACCGAGCAAAACGACATACTGTACCAAGCCAAGGTCATAAAATGTATCCGTACAGGAAACACGAAATAAACCTCGAAATAAACAAAATAGACTCCTACCATTTCAAGGATTATAATCGAGTTGTTCCTTTTCACCGCTAATTCCTCCAGTTCTGATAATATTTTAAACTCTTCCTAGTGTTTTATCTGTTATTTGATTCCACATTTCATATTTTGTTTTCGAAACATTTTTTTAAAAAATAGTTTGCAAAATGACAGTTAGATTGCTGACGTTTTTCACTGGAACACAAACGTTTCGTCTTAGCCAATCAGGAAGTTGCTGATTACCAGTCTACACCAGTGAACTCTAATAAGACTGGAACGATAACTCAACAATAAAGACTAGTCATTGGATGAAGCCGATTTGAATATAATTTGCTGATTAAGGCGGCAGCCGAGCGAGCAAATCAAGCCTTCAAAAGAACTGGGGAGAGTGAAAATTCCGTAAAAATCGTATTTTTTGGCAAAAAATTGCGAGAAAAGTGCAATTTTTATTTGACCACTTCAACTTTAAACAACGAATTTACCCTTTTTTGATAGACCTAAGTAATCCGCATCATCTTACTGTAAAAACCGGCGAGGTACCAGCTTTGTACTTGAAATATTTAAAGAATTTGAACGGGCCGAAAAAAAACTTCGCCTTCAACTCGCAAAAAAAATAGGTTTGCACCTTTTCACGTTCATGAAACTTGTTTTTTAGTAAAATCTAAGTGTCAATGCTTGTTTTAAGCTTTTATTCATGATCAGATGAGAAGGATTTGTGTATAAAAACCGGCGTTGTTTTGGTGGTGTAATTTCAACTCTTGGCCTTCATGGCGGCCATCAGTGCTGGCTTCAAAGATGGCGGCCAAGTTATCGTTCCAGTCTTTTTAGAGTTCACTGGTCTACACTCGTTCACATTTCGCGCATGCGCACAAGTACCATGACCATTGAACGTCCATGACAATGGGCGACTTGCGCCTTTCGCAAAGCATCACGGTAGTTTAGTTAGGCCAGTCGAATTTACCAAGATGGAGGTCGTTCTTGTGCGATCGCCGTTTGCAGTGAACTACAACACTTTTTCGCAGATATTTATCACTTATGTCTACGGTAAAAGGTTATAAAAACTCTTAGAGAACTGATATGTCGTAGAAGGCCAAAGTTGGGACTGTACTTGCTTTGGATTTTAAGATATTTAGCGTGATTTGACGGAAAGTAAAATACAAATAGGGCTTCGATTTACAATGTGCAGGACAAGAATTGTATTTTTAACCCCTTTAGGAGGTAAGTTCATCACTAAAATTTCTATATAATATGTAAGGGAAACAGGATGCTATAATACAAAACGCGTTTCTGCGATCGGCGATTATGTACAAAATTTATGGCCGTGAATGTTGTTTTTACAAATGAGCTTACAACTACACATGCTTTGATCAAGCGTTCTATTTCAAACCAAAACAACTGTAAACCTTTGGCGGGAAAATATCCTAAAATTGTCTCAGACTGTTAAAGTAAAAGTATTTTCAGAAGTTTAAAAGCATATTTTGATATTTATTCACTGGGTATATCTATTGGTTTACTCCTTTGGAAAAAACGCAAACTCGTGCGTTGTTATTGTTTACATATTCGTCGCGGTTTCATTTAAATTTGGCGAATTTCCGGCCGAAAAAATGGAGCAAAAAGCGGAGAAACTTTGTTCAAAATTACCTGGAGGGACTACCTGTTGTGTGCCTAAATGCTCAAGTAATAGTGTGAGAACACCTGGTGTTTCATTTCACAAGTTTCCAAAGGAGCCGAGTTCGAAAGAAGCGTGGTTAAATCTATTGGGAATTTCAAAACAACCGTTAAAAAGCCACAAAGTTTGCTCCTTACACTTTCCTGGTGGTAAAAAAGTATTGGGGGCTCTGCCCAGGTCTAGTTCATTTTCAAATAGACAAACGTCCAATAGTAAATGTGGAAGAATTGTAACTGAAAATATGAAGCGAATAAGCACTACACAGCACGCAGGGAAACATGACATGCAACAAACAAATGAAAATAGTGAACTTTTTGCACTAAAATCCGAACTTGAACAGCTAAAAAAAGAAAATGCATCTTTGAAAACTAAACATGATGAGCTATCTACCAAATACAAGTTATGTGCACTACGTTTAGAACATGTAATAGCTAGTGATGCGAACTTCAAATTCTACACCAGTTTTCCCAACTATACAACTTTCAAAGCCTTTTTCAACTATTTGCAACCAGCTTGTAATCTTTTGATGTATGCGGGAACAAAAAATTCACAACATGCATCAGAGACACAAGCAAAACGTGGTACACAAAGGAGCTTAACACCTGAACAAGAGTTATTCATGGTTTTGGTTAGATTGCGCTGTGGTTTATTGGGTCTTGATGTTGCTAATCGCTTTGGCATTTCACCAGCCCAGTATTCTCGAATTGAAACAACTTGGCTAGCTTTCCTTTATCACAGGCTAAGAGCTCTACCTATTTGGCCTTCACGTCAATATATTCAAAACACTATGCCAAAAGCTTTTAAAGATTCCTACCCAAATACACGTGTTATCATAGACTGCACTGAACTTTTTATCGAAAGACCCACATCATTTCGTAGTCAATCCGCAACCTATTCCTCATATAAAAACCACAACACAGCAAAGGGGCTAATTGGCATTTCACCTGCTGGATACCCTACATTTATTTCAGAGCTTTACACTGGTCGCTCTAGTGACAAACAAGTCACCAGAGACTGTGGTATTTTAAACTTGTTAGAGGCAGGTGATGATTTGATGGCAGATAAGGGCTTTGATATAGAGGATGAAATGCCTGAAGGGGTAAAACTGAACATACCCCCTTTCCTAAATAATCAGCAGCTCTCTATTCAGGCAGAAAATGAGACAAGAAAAATAGCCGCAGTTAGAGTTCATGTGGAACGTGCCATTCAACGAATTAAATGTTTTCGGATTTTAAAGAATGTGTTTCCTTTGAGTATGGCATCAGAGTTAAATAAAGTATGGGTCATCTGTTCCTACTTGACACTATTTCAGCCACCTCTAATCAATTCTAATTCTGAACAGGAGTAAATGAACAAACAATAACAGTTCTACAGTTTTTACGCTTTATTTGTTCACTAATTTAGGGTATATGTATGTGAAGTAAAATGATGTTAATTTTGGGAGCATAGTTTTATTCCATAATTCAGTGTCAAAATATATTCGTTCACTGAAAAGGTCATTTTCTGTATATACAATCAAATCAGCCCATTCAACATTACAAGTAGCCATCAAGCCTTGTATTTGATAGAAGTAGTTATGGTTTCTCTTTAATGTAGGTTTTGATTTGTGCTCAAGAAAGAATGTAGGGTCATCACATGCACTGTCAATTGTCATTTCCTTTTTTGAAAAAGGACACTTGACTTCCCCAATTCCATAATTTGTGCACTCAGTAGGATCATACAGCAAGCAATCAGGACTAGCACCAAGCCATGGAACTTGACCATTTACAATGAAGCCACATGACACACATGCTTTGATCAAATTATTGTTTTGGTTGCATTTTTCTATGTATTCTTTGATGGCAATTTCTTCCTTGTTTTGACCCCATAAACATGCTTTTGGCACACTTTTGGTGCAATTGGAATTAAATTGTTTATTCAAAATTGTTTTTGGGTGAATGCTCTCTCTGCGCTTCAAAACAGAACCAAAATTTGATGCTGTTAATCTTATGCGACGTTCTTGATACCATAATTCATCATCTGACTGCCCTCTTGTATTGCATTCAATGTTTTGTATCTGCTCTTTGGATTTGTATAAGGTTTCAAAAACAAATTCATTGTATTCTGGGGATGGTATGTGTTTGTTTAAGTTAGTTTGATCTGTTGTGACCTGGTTTAAAATTGCATCTCGTACTTCCACAGCATTTAGCTGATTGGTGTTGCAGTGAACTTCAAAAGTTTCCTTTTTGTAGGTAACTCATTGAGATAATTATCATAATCAAAGGGTTTACACTCATTTGATTCTAGGAGATTTTGTAAATAGCTGCATGATCCAGCACTTTTTAATTCTTTGTTCAGTTTTTGAATATCACTCTCTGTCACAGTTTGAGCAAATGCTGGAGCTGGGTTACTAATTTCAATTAAATGAGATGAACTTTTTGTAGATGTTGCCTTGCTAAATTTTACACTATCAAAAAGTATGGCTGTTTTGATATTTTCACAACTAGGTACATGCCATTCTTGTAAGAGTTGCGTGCATGTTAAATCATCTGGGACCTCTGTAAGTTCAAGTTCAATGAAGTCCAGCATTTGAAATAAAGCTGCAGCAACATGTTTACAGCAGCCACCATTTCCTGCTACACAAGTGCACCTAGCTTCAATCACTTCCCCAGTATCTTGTTTTAGGTGCACATTAACTGAATATTCAATCTTTTTCATTGAAGCATGTACAGTACACTTAAGATAAAAAAGCATTCCTCCTAGGTGAAGTACATTAGGGATAACTTTAACCTTAGAAATTTTATCTTTGAACAACTGATAGCCATATTTCTTGTGTTTGTGTGCATTTGGTTGTTTGGCCTTCGGGCTTTTTTGGGATGTTTCACCAATTAAATGTCGCTCAAGAAGTTCACGAGTAAAAGGAGGGATATCCTGAAGACTTCGGGTCCATTTTGCACTCAAACAATCCGCTTTTTGCTCCATTTTTTCGGCCGGAAATTCGCCAAATTTAAATGAAACCGCGACGAATATGTAAACAATAACAACGCACGAGTTTGCGTTTTTTCCAAAGGAGTAAACCAATAGATATACCCAGTGAATAAATATCAAAATATGCTTTTAAACTTCTGAAATACTTTTACTTTAACAGTCTGAGACAATTTTAGGATATTTTCCCGCCAAAGGTTTACAGTTGTTTTGGTTTGAAATAGAACGCTTGATCAAAGCATGTGTAGTTGTAAGCTCATTTGTAAAAACAACATTCACGGCCATAAATTTTGTACATAATCGCCGATCGCAGAAACGCGTTTTGTATTATAGCATCCTGTTTCCCTTACATATTATATAGAAATTTTAGTGATGAACTTACCTCCTAAAGGGGTTAAAAATACAATTCTTGTCCTGCACATTGTAAATCGAAGCCCTATTTGTATTTTACTCCCCGTCGAATCACGCTAAATATCTTAAAATCCAAAGCAAGTACAGTCCCAACTTTGGCCTTCTACGACATATCAGTTCTCTAAGAGTTTTTATAACCTTTTACCGTAGACATAAGTGATAAATATCTGCGAAAAAGTGTTGTAGTTCACTGCAAACGGCGATCGCACAAGAACGACCTCCATCTTGGTAAATTCGACTGGCCTAACTAAACTACCGTGATGCTTTGCGAAAGGCGCAAGTCGCCCATTGGGCAACTTTGGATTCCGCTATGCTCTCCCGGGTCCCGGGTGTTATTCCTAATCTCCGGGCGGAATTAGTACCCTCGCACGGTGCTCCGCACCGGCTCGGGGACAATCGAAAAATCTCGGATTAATTTAACTCTTCCTTCACTTTCTTCTTTAACCCATTTCTTACAAAATAGCTATGCAGCAAGCTGCCCGTTTTGCCATGTTAAGGCTAATTTCCACTCCGGAAAACGAGCAGAGGATCGGATCGGATCGGATTTTTTTCCGAGCTGGTCCGATCCATTAATTAAGTGATTTCGAATCGGATAAAAAAAAAGTTAAAACTATTTGAACTTTTTTATCCGGTCTCGGACGCTTCCGGATCAATATAAGCCAAAAATTTCAACAGACGGCGCACGCGCGGATTATCTTTCGTTCCGATCCGATGGTTTGGAGCAAATCCACCCAGGGTTTTGACTTTTGGGCGGAACATTGAAATCTGGATTTATGTCTGTCCAGAGAGATTATCTAATCCTAAATCCGATCATCGAATAAATCAGCTGTCAAGCACTGAGCGGCACTGCGGCAATCGAACATTTGGCTGGAACTTCTCCAGGTTCTGAACATTGCATTAGTATATATATATATATGGCTTTGTTGGTTTTGTTTCTTTCCACTGTTGCTGTCAGTTGGTAGTGATTTGATAATTTAGATCAAAGGCAAAGTGATCGATAAACGTTTGCCTTTCATTGAATGAAATTCATTCAAGAGTAGAGACTAGAGGTAAGCAAGTATATGTTATTAATATAAGTATTATGTTAATCTGTGTTTATAACAGGTCATATATATATTAAATTATTTTGTTACTAATTAGGTAAATTTGTGATTGCAAGTGACTGTTAAAGTACAGTGGGATGTTATAGCGTTACTAAAGAAGCTATATATGGTACTGTTAACCATGGATTTGGGACTAGGGGGTGGGGGGGGAGTGTTGGTGTTTCAGGGTATGTGGTCATTGCTAAACTGCTATTTGATCTTCACTATTGGCTTCAAGGCAATCGCAATAAGTTGTTGCTCAAAAATTTTCATATTTTTTGTTTAGTGTTTTATTAAATCTGGTCTAATCACTATGATGTTTGATGACATTATTAATATAACTACCAAGACCAGAATAATTTGCAAGTATTGTCCTGTAATTAGTATAACTATAGCAGTACAGTCTTCACAGTTAAATATTGCTATGCCATAAATAGTTTTCCATATTTACAGCCACCTCTTAATTAGACCACTACATGCATACCAACTAAGCTAGTCTAACCGATAAAGATATTTTCTCAAATGCCATTTTTTATATGAATATATATATCAAGGAATCAGATGATTATTTCTGAAATAAACTTGCAATGACCTCACTCTCACTTGATCAATTCTGTAACATTTTGTGGTTGTTTTTGCTAAAGTATTTAGTCCAGTTATAAAACAATTTAAAAGAGAGCAAAATACATTCCAGCTATCTGAAATAATATTCTTGTACATTTGCATGGTGACATCAAGCAAATTGAACTTTGTTTATTGCACAGATTAAGGCCTGTGTTAACAGACCCAAATCTTTGCAGTAGTAAATGATTACATGGTGTACAAAGCTAATTTACAGACCTACAAGCTAATTTACGTAGCTGAAATAAATTTGTAATATGAATTTAGTATGTATACAATTGCTATAGAATGCAGACTGTCCTGGCAAACTGGTCTATTAGCAATATGGCCTGCTGTTGCTAGTCACTTTTCAATTATTTGATTTTTATTGTTATAACAATAATAATATGATATGACAACTTCTTATCTTTTGATCTTTATTGTTATAACAATGATAATATGATATAGCATCTTCTCTAGCCCTCACTGACACATACAGGGTGTATAAAAAAAACAACAATCCACTTAATACTAATATATGTTCGCTTCTATTCAGTACCAACAGAGGTTAATTCGTAGGCTCCTGGGAATTATTAAGGGTTACATACATATACGCAGCCCTGTACTTGTATATATACAAGTTGTATCATTTGTATATGGTACATGTTAACCAATCAGATAGTTTGTTTACATTTTTAGGCTAAACCAATCAGAGTTCAGAGGGCATGAAATTGACATTTATGTTGACCTGCTTTATTTGTCAATTGACTATGTTCCATTTTGAATACTGTATGTTTTGCCATTTGTGGATATATAATGTCTTCTTTATTTTTTATTTTTTAACTTTATTTTCATAAAAAAACAAATTTAAAATCTCTCTCCATTGGAAATCTTAGCATATGTTAAGCAGCACAACAAAATTAACATTTAAGTTGTTGAAAATCTTTTGCAAATATCCAAAACCTTGGAATTTATTTATGTCCAGGGAAGGATATTAATAAGAGTCATTGTTTTTTCAGCAATTTGCAAGTGTAAAGATATTTATTTTCTCGCACTTTTCCCACAATTATTTTGACAATTGTGTACGTACCCCTGGTTTTCAATAAGTGAAAAACCGGTTGCATTGGATGAGAATGCCATAGAAAATTTCCATTCAGCAGTTAGCACCAGCTGGGACAAAAGAAACTCTACACATGGTATTGCACTGAAAGCAAAATAAATTTTTGCTTGCAAAAACAATCTTCATAATTTCATCTAAAAATTTATATTTTAGTGGTAAAATGAAAATCAGAAAAACAATTGAAAGTCAAGTAAGCTGAATTCCTCATACACAAATTTGAATCCAAGCCTATACATCCATGCAAATGTGACAGTTCAACAACCCTAAGCTAAATGACAATTGAAATGGACAACAAAGTGGATCTTGTCAACCTGTTTAAAAAGCAAATAGGTAGTGACAAACAAAGTGCTTCCTTTGGGATTCATGTCAATGGAGAAGACCCAGTGTGACTATACATTTTTTAACCAAAGCTCATGCATGGTTTGTGTGTTACTGGATATAAAAAATTTCATTAATCATTCTTTAAGCAAAGATTTTGTTAATAATTTTATTTATTCAAAAATCTACCTATTCTACCAAAGTCCAAAACTGGTAAAATCTAGATCTAGTTAAACTTCCACCCCTGTTCTAAGTTTGGTATGACTAAATTCGTCTGGGGTTGTTCATCTGGATACACGGGCTACTGGGGTTAAATAAAGACACGGCTTTCATAAAAGTATTGAAACATAAATGATTTTTCGTTGTTGATCAATTCTGAAATTGTTAAACATAATCCATATCAGTTTTCTTTAAGTCATGATTTTATTTTTTACTCCTTTTCAAGTTTAGGAAATTCACGCATTTCGATTATTCTTGACGCTAAAATGGCTATCCTTAAAACCAGGAACGGGGAATCAAGGAACTGGGAACCAGGAACGGGGAACAGGGAATGAGAATCTTTGGAATCTTTAAAACCCGGAAGGAGAATCTCCGGGATCTTTAAAACCCGGAACGAGAATTTCCGGAATCTTTAAAACCCGGAATGAGAATCTCCGGAATCTTTACTACCCGGAATGAGAAACTCCGGAATCTTTAAAACCCGGAATGAGAAGCATGTAAACAGAAGAAGTAATAAAATAAATCCCGTTCTAAGCAAGTTGTGTCGTTCGATATCGTTTAATCACAGAAGATATGCTGCACCTGACTACACAAAAGATAGTTCACTTTGTAGCGTTTTTCACGCACGTGGACTTGCATTCATAATCAGTTCATAATTCGATTGTATTGGATGACTTCTACTACTTAATTGTCCTGTATTCCAATGTGTACACCAACACAACGATATCATAAATTGACTGTTTTTTATGCATTAAAGTTGATATCGAATAACACAACTTGCTTAATATATAGAAAGGGATGCTATTTCATCACTCTGTTTGCATGTTCGTCATCCCGGGTTTTTAAGCTTCCGGATTTTCTCATTCCGGGTTTTAAAGATTCCGGAGATTCTCGTTCCGGGTTTTAAAGATTCCGGAAATTATCATTCCCGATTCCCCGTTCCTTGATTCCCCGTCCTGGTTTTAAAGATAGCCACGCTAAAATGTCATCAAACGTGCTGATTGGTCAACATTTTCTCCCCCTGTGAACTTGTCTGCGGGAGATATACTTAGTTCAGGGAGATATATTCGGTTACAGAAAAATAAATATTTTCTGACTTAAAATTTGTCCTTGAACATACTCCACTCCACCGCTCGGAACACTTACACTTCATTCAAGTCATATTCTTGATCAGTACATAAATCAGAACATGGCCGATGCAAATTTGGTTTCAAAAATCCAGTCATACGGCCTTATAAAACTAGGAAAGATCATGGAAGGCAGTTTGGGAATACCTACTGATGGCGTAAACACAATCGATGAAGCTCGTGCAAGAGTGTATGAAAAAATTGCTGAATCTCAAAAAATGTCTGATTGGACACTCGGAGAGGTAATCTTCAACAATACCTGTGTGGTATTAAGCAGAATTACACCGTACAGAACTGGTGATATTTTCACCGAATGTTTGCTAAATATATATTAGCCGTGTTTACCCAATGAGATTTCTGGTAATTGCGTAATGTTAAATAGCCCTTTTCCTTCAATGAATTCGACATTTGTTTCATAGAATTAATGTGTCCATTCTGAGAGTCGTGTAATGTTTGGAAAGGACATAATTTCAGGAGAAAATTGCGTTTTCCTTTCCTTACCTTTCCTTCGCTTTGGTTGAGCGATTTTAAGGCATTTTTAAACATATCAAAGATTCCTAGGTATAAGCTCAGATTCGATAAATTTCCAATAGTAAAGGACGACTTGCCCAAACGAACTGTGTATTCTGAAATTTGGAACAAACACCAAACGGTACTTCAGAAGAAAATGTTTGATTTCGTGCTATATTACCTGTTATTTAAAATTATAAGATCTGAGACGCGTTAGCTCGACGCTAATGCGTTCAATGACAATGTACAAAAGTATCATGCAATTTTCACGTATAAAGTTGACATAAGGTATACACTAGCAAATTCTTATGGGCACTGGCTTTCATTACCCAGAAATCGCGAATCAGTATAATTGTTTGTTAAAACAAACAGTTTCAAATATAACTTTAACTAATTCCCGTCTGGTCACTATTAATCCCGTCTGGACAATATTGTCGGGCCGAAGCAAAACATTAAATATCTCAGCAAGTATTTGGGCTAAATTAAAGACCCCGGAATACCACTAAACGATTGCGGTTGAATCAATTATTTAAATAGTATATTCAAACCAAGATATAACTATAAACTGCATTTGTATTCTAAGTCAAAACAAGAATCAAAATAATAGGTTGCTTTGTTATCTCAAATTACTCAAACGCAAGTGGATTACCCCCCCCCCCCCCATATACGGATGAAAGGGATGCTGCCAATGACGTCACAATGGGTGTGCATGGGGGTGCCACGTGAACATTACGTGGGGATACATGATAGTTTCGCGTGAACATCATAGATGATGCATTTTGCGTTCAATGACGTCATACTAAATGTACACGGGAGTTTCACGTGTACATTATGCATTTGATGTGTGTGGTGTTTATAGGGTATGATATAGGAATCAAAATCAGATTTTAGTATGGATTATTTATTATTTCGATTTGTTGAAAAATCATGGTACAGTTCGATTTGTCTCTAAAATAATTTTTATTAATATAATTTAAGTACTCTACGACTATTAAATAGATAGTTATTTAGGATTGTTCTAAAGTCTTTTGTTCTAAAGTCACTTAGACTTACCGTTCGTTGTATTTTGATGAAATGTACCAAACTAATGTTTGAGGGTGTCAGGAACTGCCTCCCTGGGTTCCCAACACAAGAAAAGCATTTGTAAATCCCATGATTTTCCCCTTTTATTTACGAAACTGCCTTCACACAACTCAGATTTCTCCCTCCTCTCAAGTTACAGTTTTCCGGTTTTAACCGGAACCATCCGAATGTCTAAACCCGCGCGCCCGTCTCGCGCGACAATATAACGTAATTATAATAAAGTTTCCGACACTCTCCCCCCATATAGTTTCTTGAAGGTATATGTACTAAAGGAAACTTAAATAACGTCAACGATACTAATCTAAATCCAATGTTGAATATATAGACCTTATGTTGGGCCTGAAAACGTGTACTAAAATTTATGTTTCATTTCACCCCGCTGGGAACAGGAAAAATTTATGACGACTTACCTTTACTTTATGTGCTGAATTTATTTCTGAAAAGTTCCAACTTCTACTACAGCCTGCAGTTTTTTTAAAAAATGCGTTAGAAAATTCTTTCATTTCAAACTCTTCTGACAACATTTTCGCCATTTTGAATAATCTGAAGTCACTGACTCACTCGACCCCAGTTTCCCCATTTTAACATTCGTAGCCTCCAGTATGGAAATTTGAAGTATGTAAATGTGAGAGGTGTTTCAATCCATGCCAGATTGATTTACTGTTGAAAAAATTCTCATTTCATTTTTTTCCAATTTGTTCCAAAACCTATTCCGGCGGACAATCTTTAAATCTTGTGATATAAAAGAAAAAGTTTACTTCTAGTTTTCGTCGTTCTCGCTTGAGCTGCCGTCATCGTAACAGTCATCCGAATCGCTTTCCACATCATCACCATTAGTGCCTTTGTTTCGACACTCCGTGCACGAACATAAATCGCTGCATCTTAATGAGGCCTTGACACACGAACATCTATTCTCGCATCCTTTCTTGCATTTGCAGCTTACGAACTCTAGTATTGAATCAGGGGCGGCAGGTAATGTCATCCAGTTAACGTAAACGTTGCCTTCTGCGTCAAGTTTCCACCCGTGGTTGAAGAAAGATGGCAAATTCAAAATTGCTTGCGTCGATTTGCGCCAGATAAAACACTGGTAGTTTGTTCTGTTTATGTGCTGGTCGAGTGAATCCTTATTGGGTGGTAACAATTCTTCATCAAACTTTCCACTTTTAAACATTTCATAACGTACACGATTAATATCTGAGTATCCTTGATATCCATATAAATGACATACGAAATGGTAAAGCTGAGTGAAGAGGTCTTCAGATGGATTTAACTCGGTGCCTAAGTTTGAGAAGGTGTGGGAGTATTCTTCTCTCGCTTTCGCAACTTTCAACACAGACACTTTTCCTTTGCCGTAAAAGGCGCTCGTTGTGTCACAACCTTAAAAGAGAGAAAATATAAATATATTAATGATAGAGAAATACGGTCTAGTGGCAAAATAATTTACGAACCAGTGAACGCGTGAAGACCAATGAGTCTTATATACCAATGTGCCTTTGTTCATGGTCTTTGATGAGTGAAAAATTAGTTGAGGGAAACGATCCTGAATGCGTCTTTTCAGTTTTTCTGCACGGTACAGAACGTCAATATTTTCCAAATTATGCACAAAAGCGATAAACTCTTTCAACAATATTGCTGAGTAGTAAAATCTCACCGTTCTGAATGATTTTTTTCTCAATTACTTCCAGGCAAAACTCATCAAAAGCTTTGTCATACAGTGTTGGTCCGACAACTTTTTTAGTTTTGGAAAGACATTTAGTGTACGCTTGATAACATCGTCTATGATACTTTGCTTCAATTGCGACACAATCCCGCCCGCCAATATGGAGAAGAATACTTTCATCGTTCCGAAGCACTGCTGCTTGTTTCAAAACACCAGCATCGATAGTTTGGGCCACCGACAACTCTTGCTTGACAGGCTTTTTGGTCACCTGAAAAAAATTGCTATGATTATGGCAATAGAATAAACGAAATAACTTTAGGCGACAGAACATAAGTGATAGAAATAAATTAAAATCTGCGGCTTACCATATCAGTGATATATAAGGGTCCCGAACGCTTACAGATTAAGCAGATGTCTGGTAATATGTTGGATGACACGCTTTTTAGATTAGAGTGGATCGAACTTTCTCGGCCAAGCGAGTGACGTTTCGTATATACGGGCAACTTTGACCGGCTGTTTTTGACTCACTTTATCTGTTTCGTGTTCGACTTTTTCTACTGGGCGCTTAATGCTGGAATTAGCTATAGTTGTTATGTCAGTAAAATTCCGATAGCACTGGATGTGGTAGCCGCAAACTTCGCCTAAGGTCTCTACGTATGAGTTGTCATCAATTAATTTAAAACTCTTTTGCAGCTACTGTAAAATCTTTATATGGCTGAGGAAGGCGTAGCCACTGTTTTCGTAGATCCTTTACTTTGGCTAAGGTTCCTGCAGTAAATCTTTTCAAATCTCCCTTTTGCCATCAAAATGAATTGCGCATATGCGATCATTATTAGCTGCCATTTTGTTATGAAAAAAAATCTCTTTTGATAAAACGCTCGAGCAAAACACAAAAAATGCGCGAAACTTTGAGAAATTCATTTACATGTCTCAAAAGGCAGCGCAAGCTAAAATGAGGAAACTGGGGTCGAGTAAATCAGTATTCTAAGGGATGGAAAATAATTTTAATATGACTTTATATTATTCAAAATGGCGAAAATGTTGACAGAAGAATTTGAAATGAGAGAATCTTCAAACGCATTTTTTAAAAAAACTGCAGGCGGTAGATGTGGGAACTTTTCAGAAATGGACTCAGCACATAAAGAAATGGTAATTTGTCATAGTTTTTTTCAGTTCCCAGCGGGGTGAAATGAAATTTAACAATTTTCAGGCCCAAAATAAGGTCTAATAAACTAACATCCCAAACCGTCTACTCTTTAAATGTTATACTCTGTCCGATTCCTTATTTAGGTTTCATCACTATTAACTTGCTTTTGGATGCGTAACTTTGCGGCGACTGCTGCATCACGAGTCGGTCTAAACGTTGTCGCTTCCGGATTGAGTGCTTTATTTCTTATGTCACACGACAGTTCGAGTGAGTAGAGTAGTTTGACTGCTCTCTCTAAATGTCCGCTTTCTGTCCTCACCTTTGCTGCACGAATGACTCCGTCTCTTCCTGGATAAAGCTCGTGTACTATTCCCAGTGGCCACTTTCCTCTATTTCGTTCTTCTGAGTAAATAATGATGACATCACCCACCGCTAGGTTGAATGTCTTCGTCTTATATTTTAAATTGTGTCGTTCTCGCAACACACGTAAATATTTCTTCGTCCACCTGCTCCACATGCTATGCTTACATTTCTTCAGATACTTAGCACGTTTACGTAGATTAGGATCAGATTCGAAGTAAGGTTCGAGTTCCGGAATGTGGGTCGATCCCACAAACTACAGGCTGTTCCGTGTCAAGGTTGGCATTTGGATGTCATCTTCTTGGTAGCCTAGAGGACTGTTATTCAAAGTTGTTTCAATATCTAACAAGACATCTTCGAGTTCTTTCTTAGTTAAGAAACCATTTCCAATGCACTTGTATAACGCGAACTTCACTAAACCGACCATTCTTTCGAACTGCCCCCCACTAGGGGGCCCAACTTAGATTGAGCTGCCATTTGAT